AAACTACTACTAGGCTTATATAACGGAAACGGACTTGGTAGATTAATTTTTTATCAGATTTGACAGGTTATCGGTTTTGACAGGATCGGTTTTGAGAGGGTCAACTGTATTATTCTATTTTAAGATACGATTCAGCGTAGATTATGAGAAATTTTTTTTTTTTTTAAAGAATTTTTTTTTTTGTAAACTATATAGTACGTGCTTATTTGTAGTGTTGGGATCCGTTTGGTTAAACATCCGGATAGCTGTTTTTGAGCGCGGATGACGATCCGGATCCCAACACTATTTATTTGAGGTTTATTATCATACTTTTAAAGCCATTATTTTTTTTTATGCGCGTATTATATTAAGAACTTTTGACGTTTTGGTCTGTAAAAATTTTGAAAATTATAATTTATAAATATTATAAAAGTAAGGATACAAATATTTTTGAATTCAAACCAATAATATTAGAGGCTAAAGATTATGAAAAAAAATAAAGGGAAACGTGCTTTTTGAAAATAACAAAAACATGATTCGAGTAGAATAACGTGTTTTCTTTCTATTAAAATTTATAGCGATAGTTTTACTGTTGTTATCATTAAATTTTTTTATTTGCCGCAAATTTATTTGGACTGATTAATGCGCCACTAACCTGGCACACATTCAAGAATTGCTTGATTTTATTGGCTCCAGATCTATGAGGTTCGGATCTCGGGTCACAAAATGTAATGATAAGAGTTAGATTATCAGAAGTTTAAAGTTCTTCCCTTCGATATGGGTAAGATAAAATTAAAGGGAAAAGCAGGTGCAGCTACAAATTATATTACGAGAAACCAAGCATTAAAAAAAACTTCAACTATCACTTGCGGATTTTAGGTTCGTCGTTTTCGTAGTCAACCTAGATCAGTACTATTGAAGCATAAACTAAACTCTAGTTTACTTCTAAAGACGGATATGCATTCTTAAAGGCATCTATCCTCGAGAACCTAAAAATAAAAAAAAGGCCAACAAAGGATCGACCGCGCCTACAACACTTTACTATACTAAAGATATTCAATATCTTGCACATGAACCGATACTTAAGAAATTCCGAGAATACAAGATCTTTATAAAAAAATTAAATAAGGCGCTCGGAAAACAACAACTGAGCGTCGCAAAAAGTTTAGAAAAGAACAAGCCGGTGTATACGTTAGATCACATCATCAAAGAAAGGTAGACAAGTATAATACCTATATTACATGCATTAAAATTCTAATTGTCATTTATTATTAGATACCCGGCTTTCACTGATGCATTACGAGATCTCGATGATGCGTTATGCATGCTGTTTTTATTCGCTACCTTTCCTTCCACAGACAAGATTAAGTCTGAAACAGTTGCAAATTGCCAACAATTATCCCTTGAATTTCAGCATTACGTGATTCGCAGTCGTAGCCTTCGTAAAGTATTTTTGTCTATCAAAGGCATTTATTATCAAATTGAAACCAAAGGTCAAACAATAACTTGGCTAGTTCCTTATCAATTTAGTCAACAGGTATAACCAGAAAAATTGTTTGTCGATCTTTTTTTCTTTCAAGAAAATTTGAATGATTTTTTGATTCATATTATTAAAAGGTTCCTAATGACGTTGATTTTCGTGTCATGCTTACATTTTTGGAGTTTTACCAAACCTTTGTCGGTTTTGTGAACTTTAAATTATACACGGATATGAATTTGGTCTACCCTCCAAAATTAGATATATCAAAAGACGATGGTGCAGCTGGGTTAAATGCCATTATTATTGAGGAAACGAACAACTTCTCTCTAGCAACGAGTCAAGTTAAGGCTGATCAACAATTGGTAGGAGGAGCCTTATCGCTTGAAGAGTCGGTATGTCTTTATATCTTTATATTTGAAGTAAGCCTAAGATTAAATGTGTGCTCGAATTATTTTCGTCGGCTTGTTAGTATACACTTGTCAATTATATTAAAGCTCGCCAATGATTGCAAACGGCGTTTTTGCAATTATCAATAAACATTTGAATTTATAATTCGTAACATGACCGATAAACCTGTATTATATTTTAAATGAATGTCTATTTTATTAATAATTAATAGGCGCAGAAAATTAATTCTGAAGAGCGTTTGAAGACTTTGCCAAAAAAACTTGTAGAAATCAAAAACAAAGATGAACGTGCAGTATCAGAAATCACGTCAGATAGTGTTGATAATACTGAAACCGAGGAAGCATTATTAGATGATTTTATAGATCAAACACCTGTCCCATCTACATCCCAGGAGCAGGATGTCCTAACGCAGACTTTTACTTATCGAGATATTTATTCAGCATCCGTGGCACTTTCTGAATTTGAAAATTTATTTTCAAAATGCGTATTTTATCTTTCGCGCGAGGTTCCGAGATATTCCTTAGAATTTATCATTCGTGCATTTGGTGGTCAGGTCGGATGGGATGCCACACTTGGTGTAGGATCGCCGTTCACAGAGAGCGATGATCGGATTACCCATCATATTATCGACCGTCCAATAATAAAAGATCAATTTTTAACACGTGTCTACGTTCAGCCACAGTGGGTTTATGATTGTATTAATGCCAGAAAGTTACTGAAAACTAAACAGTATCGGCCAGGTAATGAATTGCCACCACATATGTCACCCTTCGTTGAACACAAAGAAGGTGACTATGAACCTGAAATGAAAAACGATTTTGAAGAAATGGCTGAAGAAACAAGTGCACGATCAAAAGAGCAACATGATCAAGTTGAAAATGACGATAATGATACAGATGTTAACGAGAATGATAGTGACGATGATGATGATGATGATAACGATAGTGATGACAATGTTAATGAAGAAGAGCCCGCAACACTTGTCCTCGATCAGGACAGTGATTATGTGGAAAATGAAGTAAGTTTTATATTTATATATGCTGCATTATTATTTTATTTTAACAATAAATATTTTTCCATAAATATTAGACTGACAACGAAGACATGGTTTATCAGATGGAGCTTGAAGCTGAAGCAGCTGGAACACCATTCGCCAAATATAAAGAAAATCAAGCGAAACAAATCAATGATGGAAAGTTCCATAATAATAGTTCATCGAAACCGCGTGCTGTGAGCGGCAAGAAACGTACTTCTAAAGAAATTGAAGAACAAGAAATTAAAGAGTTGGCCAAAATTATGATGACAAAGAAACAGAAAAAACTGTATTCAAAGATGCAGTATGGAAAGAAAAAGCAAGAGGAAAAAGTTTTAAATTTAAAGCGCAAAAAAGAAGAAATTGATCGTCAAAAGAAAAATGTTGTTTCTACTTCCGTAAAGGATAACAAAAAGAGGAAATAAAGAAAACGACAGTATTCGTAAGGATCGCTAAACTTACATTATTTAAAATTTTAGGTTTTTTTTTTTTTGGGTTATCACCAATATAAAAATGATTATAATAGAAATACAATATACTCCTTTCGAAAAATAAAATAAGTCTGACATAAACAGCATATAAAAAATCTCGAAACCCTAATATAAGCAATAACCTATTATAATATTAATTGTCTCCTCGTGCTCACTGACTAATGGTTGTACTGATTATTGAACTGTTACAATTATCTATTATTGCAGTCTACAACTGAAATGTAAAAAAAAAAAAATATGTACAAGTATTTCACAAAGCGACGGCATGCATTAGTTTTTTGTACCATTCCGTGGCCTTTTTTTATTTCCGTGTCCTCTTTTTATTTCCAGGGGTGACGCTATTATTTTGCCTTTTAAGAGTACTTTCTGAAATCATTATATATTGAAAGAGCAAGTTAATAAGTTTTATGAACTAGCATTTGGATAAAGATCATAAATATAATAAATGCGTTTACTTGCCACTAATAGCAGGGGATTGTGTAGAACTTTTTTTTTGATGCGGTGATCCGATATCATTTGCATTTGATAAAGCTGATGGTGCTAAAGTTGGTGTTTGCTGCGGTGTTTGTTTTGGTGTTAGCGGCGTCGTAGGAGCTGTTCTCAAGTCATTAGAATTGAGAGTAGGTGGGACACCATTATAATTTGGAGCATCAGCTTTCATTTCCTTCTTAACAAGTGGTGAATGCTGGATATTTGGAGTAGTTGTTACACTGTTCGCTACTGCTTGTGCTGCCACGTTAATATTATTCGTGTTTTGGGATGCAATTATACTTAATGCCTCTAATAAGGTTAAAATAGTATCAAATGAATACAAATACCATTTATATCGGTTATTAATTTGAAAAAATCTTACGTAAAGGTCCCATATTTCGATTGTTTATGGTATGCATCATAACCTCTTGCATATATTCAACGCCTTCCCCAACCTATATATGAAGCAGGAAACGTAATATTAATTAAAAATTCACATACTCCAAAAATATAATTATATTTGGTGTACCTCCAAGCATCGCATTGTTTTATGAGGGATTCCATATTCATTTAAAGGGCTTTGTATAAATTCGTGGAGTCGTTGCTTTGGTAAAAATTCTGTGAATCTCGTTGTTACAAATTCGAAATGTGTCATTTTTAATTGGGGATTGAAAAGGACGGTCAAACGCCCAGGTGCAACAACCTAAATAACAAAAGTTGAAAACTGTTCATTTCACACTATGCAAACTGATTTATTTTATAATCGAAACATCAATAAGAATATAAATATTTATAACACACCTGTATTCCATTTCCATAATAGTATACTATTGAAGCAGATGGGCATTCCACTTGTGCGTATTGCGAAGGACGCGGATGCGGATGTCCCAATACGAGTTGGATCCTCATTACTCCAGATTCAAAGAAGGTTTGATAAAACCTAGGTATAACTTGGTACTTTATTTCTATGATTTAAAATAAAGTTATTATAAAATAATAACAAAAACAACGAAATTTTTAAAAAGTTACATAGATTATAATACCAAATTCCTTTTGACTGTGTGGTGACCAAAGTGTGTACTTCATCGAAGTATCGTCAGCAAAGAAACGACTGGTCAAATCTTTCAAGTGAAGAATATTATCCTTTTCAAAATAATGAATGCATTTAAATGCTAAATATAAATGAATAAATATCGTAATATTTTCTATAGACTAACTCACCCCTAAATGTTCTGCAAAATGTTCTGCAAAACTCAAAAGCCTCATAAAAAAAGTTTCTCTTGGAACTCTGAAATTTTGTTAATATAAATCATAGATTGAATTAGCAGACATCAAACCGACCCAAATTATTCATATATTATCAAATAACTAAAAACAATTACGCTTTGAGTAGATTTGGTTGATTTGGAATTCTTCTAGGAATAAGATTTATTGGATTATTCGCAAAGGGTATGCCTTGCATATAAGCACCATTGATGTGTACACCGTTTGGTTGCATAGTCAAATGCGCAGGTCTCATTATTACTCTTTGACCGTTTGGAAAACCCGGATAAACATTTGTCGGAACTCGGATCGCCGTTCCAGGAACTGGTCCAACTTGATTAAAATTATTCGCCATTCAGAAGTTACTAGATCTAGTAAATTTATAGACTATGTTACAACAAAACTCGCGCTAGGAAAAATAATATATATACATATATGTATATATATGATAATCTATATAAGTAGGTTGTATTGTTTTTTTTTTTTTTTTTTTTTTTTGTAAAATTACTGTATAATCGAAGAAAAAAAATTCATAGAATTTACTTACGTTACTAGCTAGATAGACCCAATTATATGAATAATTTTTCGTCATTGGATATACGCACCCTGATTGTGTAACGTGAAATCATGGAAGT